CACATCGAAACACACCACTTATCTGACAAATTTACTTTGATTTAGTGGTGACATCTCATAGTTTTGATATTGGAAATAAACAGTTCAACTCATCTAGATCTTGTATTTATTGTGAAGACACTGTACATGCTAAAAGTCGATGTTATGACTTGATTGGATACCATGAATGGTGAGATTATTCCGAGGCTTCAACTACAACATCATTAGTCTCCATCGCTATAGTTGAAGTACCTTCACTTAATACTAATACTATTGCATTACACACCTCCTCCAACTCACCAGGTAAGTCTTTTGATAAACCTGCGCCTTTTGGATTTTATGTATGGATTATTAATTCTTGATTAACTGATCATATGTCCTTTGACACCATCTCATTTGTTTCTAAATTAAAACCATCTAAAAAATATGTTGTGTTTACAGCTAATGGAACATAAGCCATAATTAATGGTAAAGGTTTATTTATTTTTAAATAAACTCAATTTAGATTATGTTCTTATAGTTCCTTTCTTTAATTTTAATTTGATATCTGTCTCTCAAATTACAACTTCCTTACATTGTGTTGTAATTTTTTAGCTTGACCATTATGTTTTCAAGGACATCAAAACAAGAAGAACGATTGGTTGTTGTACTAAAAATAAGAAGTTATATTATCTTGATCTCACATCATCTAGCTTAAATGCTTTGGCTAAGTCATTATCAGTTACTAGTTTAACATTTACTTCTAATATTTGTTTGTGGCACAAACAATTTGGACATATTTTATTTTGATATTTAAAATATTTATTTCATAAGCTATTTTTAAACACATCTCTGCCAATACTTAAATGTGAAACCCGTGAATTGACAAAGAGCCACTGTGTTCCCTTTCCGTCAAGTTTGAATAAAAGTTTTATGCCATTTACACTTATACACTTTGATGTTTGGAGTCTTGTAAAAGTTCCAACTCTAAATGAAGCATATAAGTTTTTTTTTTTTTTTTGATGATTACACTCACATGACTTAAATGTGTTTGATGAAAACAAAACAGGATGTATGCTCATTCTTTAAACAATTTTATTCAATGGTTGCTACTTAGTATAAAACTTCAATTCAAGTCCTTCATATTAATAATGATGGAGAGTTTGTTAATCATAAGATGAGGTGATTTTTACATAGTCAGGGTATAATTAATTAAACTACATGCCCTTATTCCCCTCAACAGAATGGGGTTATAGAAAGAAAAAATAGACATCTTCTAGAAATGGTTCGAGCTACACTAATTAAAGCCAATATGCCCATTTATTATTAAGACGAATCACCTACTACTACTTCATGTATGATAAACTATATTCCATCTCACAACTTAGACTTCCATACACCTCTTGAAACATCAAATCAAAGCTTGTCCTCACCACTTATATGGAACCTGCCCTAAAAAATATTTGGTTACATTGTCTTTATACACATGCCAAACCATGCTCGCTATAAACTTCAACCATGTGCCTCTTATGAAGATAATAACAAAAAAAGACACATATAATAAATGTATAGGTGTTTCCATCTACCAACTCATAAAATGTATATTATTATGGATGTATAATTTCATGAACACCAAATGTACTTTCCTACAACAACAACTACAAATCAAGGAGGGAAGAGTAGTGACTTAAAGTTTTTTACCTTTCATAACGAGAACAAAATTCACACTTTGACTGAACTTGAACCAGCAAAACCTAAACTAGTAGGATCAGAACATACAAATACAACAATTGAGCTTCCACTGTGTAATCATCCTAATAGTTCAATCAAATGTATCACAATAATAATCATCATCTTCTCTTTATGCTTTTATTCCTCATGAGTCATCACCATCTAATGAATCTCAGGTAAATTTTTGAATCCTTCCTAATCGTACCACAAGGGTTGTCAAAGGCATGTGAATCATTTGCAAATCAATTATCTATTGTATAGGTTTCTAGTAACGTGCAGGAAGCTATAAAATATCCTAAATGGAAAAATATAATGAACGAAGTGATGAAATCTCTCCAAAGAAATGCAACATGAGAGGTGGTGGATTTACCTATTGGAAAGAAACTTGTGGGATGTCGATAGATTTTTTCAGTCAAATACAAAGCTGATGGTGATATTAAGAGGTTTAAAGCTTGACTTGTGGCTAAAGGATATAGTCAAACATATGGAATTAATTATGAAGAAACTTTTGCACTAGTGGCCAAAATAAATACAATACATATTCTCCTATTATTAGCTGCAAATTTTAATTAGTCACTACATCAATTTGATGTAAATAATGCATTCCTACACAGGACTCTCCAAGAAGAAGTATATATAGGGTTGCCTCAAGGATGTAAGTTACAAGTTGAAGGGAGCAAACAAGTTTGTAAACTGAACAAATCATTGTATTGTTTAAAGCAATCACCAAGAGCTTGGTTCAGCAGATTTACAAGCTTAATGAAGGCATTTAGTTATCAACAAAGTAGTTCTGATTATACTCTCTTCATAAAGCATAATGAAGAAATGCTCACAATATTAATTATATATGTTAATGATATGATTATAACAGGAAATGATGCTAAAAAGGAAGCCTTGCAGGCTTATCTTTTCCGTGAATTTGAAATGAAAGACCTCAAACTTTTAAAGTATTTTTTAGGAATTAAAGTCTTAAGATCCAAACATGGTATACTTTTATCGCAATGGAAATACATAATTGATTTGCTGAATAAAATTGGCATGTTAGCTTGTAAATTGAGTGATACACTTGCTGTTAAAAATGTAAAGTTGAGTACACTTTTGAATCAAATTCCTACAAATAAAGAATAATATCAAAGGCTAGTAGGAAGGTTGATGTATCTCTCCCACATTAGACCCGACTTGGCATATTCTCTTAGTGTTGTTAGCTAATATATGCACTCTTCAAGTGAAGAACATATAAAGATAGAAATACGTATCCTTTAATATTTGAAGTCTTCTTTAGGTAAAGGAATTGTGTTCACTAAGGGAGATACCTTAAACATTGAAGATTACACTAATATATATTGGGCTGGCTTAATTGATGATAGGCGTTCAATTGCAGGATACTTGATGTTTGTTGGTAGAAATTTAGTTACATGACGAAGCAAGAAACATGGAGTTGTCGCTAGATCTAGTATGAAAGCAGAGTACAGAGGTATAACTAAAGGTATATGTGAGCTGTTATGAATTTAAAATTTGTTATAGGAACTCAGGATTCCAACAACATCTTATATGAAATTATATTGTGATAACAAGGCCGCATGTAATATAGCTTACAATCTTGTTCAACATGATCGGACAAAGCATATGGAGATTGATAGATATTTTATTCAAGATAATTGAAGTTCCTCATAATCGATCTCAAGATCAGCTTGCTGACATTCTCATTAAGGCAGTATCAAGTAAAGTCTTTCACCGAGTGTTAGACAAGTTGGGCATGCAAAATATTTATGCACCAGCTAGAGGGAGAGTGTAGAAAATTGTTATAGTTATCTTCTAATTAGTTATGATTAGAACTTTGCTTTGTTCTATTATATACCATGTCTATCACTTATTATGCTTATCTCCTATTCTTTTAAGAGTCTATACAAGGGTCTATAAAATGTCTTATATTGGTGTAATTTTGGAACTGAAATAATAAAAAAAGAGAATAAAGAACTCTATTCTTCAAGCATAATATTCATGTCCAAATAAACTTTCAACAGAAGATGGTGGTTTCACATATGTTACCTATTTCAAAGATAATTGGGGGGCACTACTACTTCCTCTCCTAATCCTAGAGCTTTGGTCATATTATAATGCAAATGTTGTGTGGTGTGCAATTCTATATTTGATAAAAAACAATACATATGGATGTATGAGTTAATTAAGTAACAATACATATGAAATCAAAGAAACAAATAAACATCATAAAAAAAGTATATGATCATTGAAAAACAATAAACAAATTAAGCTTAGACCTATACATCCCTAATAGAGTCATCATTCTATCGCATTTCAATAGATATTGCAACGAGCTAGTTTAATGTGAAAAAGAGGAAAAAAATATGAAAAGAGAAGTCGCCATCTAATTTTATGATAATTAGAAACTCTAACAAGTTTTCAAAGATTTTAAGTAAGGGGTTGGTTATGTAATAAAAAAGATAACAATCATCATATTTATTCTACCTAAAACAAGTTATATTGTTGTTTATTTTCAAAAATAAAAATGTTTTAATGTTTGCCTAAACTGATATGTAGTTTGGGTATTATTCTTATCCACAAAAAAAAATCCAAAGATAAGCACTAACATTAGATATCATATCATGCTAGGTCAATAGGCTATACTAATCGGTCCTATAAATGTTAATTAATATCATAAGGATAAGTCTATTGTTAGATCATTCTACCTTGTGTTTTTTAAGGAGTGATATAAGGCTAAAAGCTGCATAGTTAATTTGACTATATAATATTTAAAAGATAAGATCTAATTTAAAATAAAATTTTATTTTTTTTAAAAAATATTTTTTCACAAAACAAGAATTGAGAAATGATGGGTTATCTCCCTTTTCAAATACGAAAAAAAATCCTATCGAACAATGTGTTTTTAATGATCTAACTACTTGTAATATCTATAAACCTAACTTGATGGTATCTTTTAATGGATGATGAAAAATAAAATAAACACATGTTAAGTTGATTAATAATGAAAGGAAAGCTCGATTAAATTTGAAAGGTAAAAGGCCGATAGTAGGTTTCGTCCTTTCTACGCTAGGAAATTTATTTTTTTAGTATGGCGCAACCCCCCCCCCCCCCCCAAAAAAAAAAAAAAAAAAAAAACCCAACACCTACATATACAAAATGTTTATTTCAAACATTCGTTAGCATACAATCTCAATTCACATATAAACTCAATTCAAACAATCTTGTCAAACAGAAGCAAATAAAAAATCTAACACATTAATAATGGAAAATGTACTATCATTCCATAACTTATAATAACACCCCTCCTCAATACAAATAAAATTCCATCATCATCATCAGCACCCATAAATTTTATTGGTATTGATACAAATCTAGAAAAGCTGAGCTTGGAACTTAAGAATTTATGAATTTATTGGTACAGGAAAAGTTCCCCTGATGGGGCATAGCCTCCCAATAAGAAAACAATTCATGAAAATTCTTGAGTCTTGAACCATCAGCCAGTTGAATAATACAAGCGAAGTTTGATCTGCTTGACGTGAATATCGTTTCATGCTTGCCAAGCTACATGAACTTCATCACGAACATTACAGGCAGCTTCGTTTATGGTACTCATAAAATAACTTTTGGAAGGATTCTAAGTGATCCGTCTCTAAGCAAATGGTCAACGACAAGGTTCCATCATTTGTTGGGCTTGGTAGAATGTATCCTTTTCCTTCAAACGCAAACGCAGGCCGCATATACACTGGCTTGCCCCATCCAAAATCAGCGTCGTAAAAGGGAAAACGCACCCAACTAACAATGTTGAGGTTTGGGCTCCTATAAGTTTCGGAGCTTCTCATGACAGTAGTCAAGTCATCTACTTTTTCCAAGTAGTCAACAGCTGATCTCAAATACTCGTCATCCATTCGTTTTATTGCTTTGTGAATTCTCTCCGCTATGTGAGCCAATCGCTCCGATGAGAGGTCACCAGAGAGAGCAATGGGTGTAGCTTGGAAGATTACATTTCCAAAATAGCCAGGTGGAATTGGAGGACGCAATCTATTCCTGCCATTGGTGGATATGTTTATCTTGGTTGCTTGATCATAAGACAAGCCTCGCGCTTTGCATGCACAACGCCATATATGTGCGGTAAGGATCACGTAAGTGCTGTACTCGGTCTTGCTTGCAGTATCATTCTTCGCCATAGCTTTCAAAGTGTTAAGTAAATCACGTGGGATCTTAAGGTTGGCTACAGAAATGTCTCTAGAACCTGACTGGCGAATGGGGTTTTGGAAAGGGGTGTTGATGGTAGGGAATGGATCATATTCGACATGATGGAAGGTAGGGTTGGGTGGGACTCTGCCACGAAGAATGGTTCGATCGATGAATGGTGGGGTTTTAACAGTGAGGCCACGGGCTATATCAGACCATGTGGTGATGAAATGAAGACATCCGGTCCCATCTGCCAGAGTATGATGCCATCCAACTCCGAGGCACACTCCACCGCATGTGAATCTGGTTACCTATCAGGGATGAAAATCATCAAAGTGAGCTACTTGCTGGTTATATATCTACATTTTTATTGATAAGCGAACAGCTTTTGAGTTCCAATTAAGAAAGAATTTTGGGATTTGAGATGGGGCAATTCCCAATTTAAGTTGCCCAAATTTTCGCTGGATCATATCGTCAGTTATCACTGCATGGAAAAGAAATTAAGCTTGCCAATATCTATATCACTTGTATATATAAACATAGTGACTGTTTTCACTGAGATTTTAACAAAATTTCAATTCTATCCTTAGAAAGTGCCATGAGTTTGACAGACACACTAGGCTTAGGTGTCATGGGTTTCAAAATATGCTAGATCCAAGTTGTTTGGTCGGTAACAAAATCCTTTGCATTTTTAGCAATTTTATTTTGCTACTAAATTTAATTTTCATCAATTTTTAGTTTCCAGTGGAGAAGAGGGTGGGGGGGAGAGAGAGAGAGAGGATGACTGGAATCCAACCTAAAAAAATATCATTTCTTCCATTTTGGCCATCAAAAAGTTAGATTTTTATTGTAAATGGTTCATATGATAAGAAAAATTTCAATTTAGTGTTTTTTTACTTTGAATGTACCTAACAAAATCAAATTGGAGATTTGAAAGAAATTGATTTTTGTGTTGATTTTGGGTTTTGACTGGTTTTCTTATGTTTCTGCAGGTTAGGGATTGATTTAGAAACTTAAGGTGATTTCTAGATATTTTGGGTTAGAAATGAGTTTCTAGAGGTTAAAAACCAGCTACCCGGATTTTCCGGTCCAGGTATAATGAGCGACACACAGTCAGATATATTTTTTTTGTTTAAATTCAGCTCACCCAAGTGCCTTAATCTAGTAGCACATCAAGTCTAATAACCTTAAATCTGTCGGATAAACACACCAGATCTAAAAACCTTGGTTCTTACCGTGAAACACGCCAGACAAAATGACAGGAAAAAAAGCTGCGACGGAGCGCAGACATGTGTGTGTGTGTAGAAAAGCAAGCAAAATAAAGAATAATTCTTCCACTAAATCTTTTATCAAGTGAAGTAATAGCCCTTTGAAAGGCATATCCACAGGAAAAACAAATGAATCATTCATAGAATATCAAGTCTAAAACTTTTTCTTATAAATTTAATCATATATTTAGTAAGAATCTCGAATAGAACACATCACACACACACACACACACAGTCAACATGAAACTCTTTTTACTATTCCAAATATAAATTACATTCTAATAGATCCAAATACTCATACCTGTAAAACGAGGAGCGGGTAAGAAAAGATGTCACTAGAGTCAACGGTAGGAATAAGCTGTCGAAGTTCGTCGCTGGGCTTGAAATCAGCAAAGTCACCCATAGCAGAATCTGTCTCAGCCTCAATGAATAAAACCCCTTCTCCATTACAATTTATCTCAATTCTTCCATTCGCATCCCTTGCCAATCTCCCAGCTACAGGGTAAAATGACACAAGAACTTTGCTCAGTGCCTCCTTGAGCCCTTTAACTTCAAAGAAATTGGAAGATCCATTTGGCTTGTATAAGAACAGCAAAGGGACATGATATTTTGCATGAAACAGGTCCAGGTTAGTGACCTCTAGCCGGTGGTTTGGTGTGTCCTGGTTCGGCAGCACCATGGATGATTCCTTTATGATAATCTGCATCTTGTAACTTTGGCTCGGTATTCAAGTTGAGAGAGAGAGAGAGAGAGATGAGGACCCAGGCACTAGCGATGATGTTCTGGCTAAAATTGGCACTAGCTGTGATGCACTGGCCTAATATTCATGATGCAATTATTCATTTTGTACTGCCGGTTCATGATTGAGGAGGAAGAGGGGTTTTTGGCTACGCGTAAGCGTTCGTGTTTCTTCAAAAACGTATGAAATGACCGTTTGGTTGTAAATGATTAAACAATCAAAATATATGGGTCCTGTCATTTATATGCGGCAGGATGTCGATGTTTTAAAAGCAATAAAATATTGTTTTTTTACGAGTTTCAACATGTGAAACACGTATCGTTAAGTGAAACTATTTATGTGATCAGTGTAATTCACTTTACACTACAATTTATTTTAGAATGTGTTAATTTTTTAACAAATTTTTTATTTAATTTTATTAGACAGTCATACAATTATAAAAATTATAAAATAAATTAAATTCATTAGTATTATGATATAAATAATATTTTTTTTAAACAATTAATATAGAGTAAATTAAATTCACTCGCACTGTAATATCAATTTTATACCTGATAATATTTTATCTGATTTTATTACACGTTCATAAAATTATAAAAATTATAATTCTTATCAGCTGAATTTAGTATATAATAAAATTATAAAAGCTTAATAGAATAATAAAAAATATTTTTATATTTTATATTATTTATTTTATTTTATGATGTAATAGGAGTAGTTAATTTTACAATATTTAAATTTAAAATCATCAATATTAATATATATTTTAAAATTATTTTATAACCTCAATTTCAAAAACATTTTTAACCAAACATATTAAACTATTTTTTCTTCAATCACAGTTTTAACTAAATACCTATTTTTTTAAATCAATCTCAACTAAAAGTACTTTTTATAAAATAATTTTTTTCAAATTACAACTACAACAGCTACCACAATGAACTATATTTTCATGTTAATGGAGATTGATATAATAAAATTATATTTTTACCTTTCATTTTAAAAAATATAAGTATCGGTGTGAGGCAGTTTTATTATTTCAAATGGTTTATTAATTATAAATATTATTTGAGGATATATTTATTTTTCAAAAAAAATTTATTTGAGGATATATTTATTTTTCAAAATTTTTTATGTACTTACCTCTAAAATTAAAATAAAATCTTCAACCGATGGTTTTTTTCTTATTAAAATACAATTAAAAGATTTTTTTACCTTTGAAAGAATACAAAAACTAAATCTAATGTTTTGAGAAATTTGTCCTCTCAGACATGTTTTTTGTTTTTGTAAGTTTTAGAGACAAGAGACACATTTTAATATTTTTATGTTGAACAATTTATTTTTTATTAAAAAAATATTAACATATATTTATTTCATATTAATGAGTAGATGTTATTTTTATTACCTGCACAAGAAGACATTACTTAATGGCCAAACTTGCTTTTTTATTATGTCTTTGAATGTATCATTATATTTTCTTCTCTTAGTATAACGTATGATAACAAATGATGAATGGTTTATTGTTTATTGTCATTTTTTTTCTCTTGTTTACTCGAAAAACCACATGATTGTCCTCTTTATTTTTATTTTTTTAATTTTAGTTCTTAATTTTTTATTTTTTATTTACATTGTTATCTCTTTAATAAAAGTTTTGTTTGTTTTCAATTTAATCTTTCAATTATAATATGTCATATACATTATTTTTTTTATTTTGATTCTTATTTTTTACTTGGCTCTTTTATTAAAATTTTATTTGTTTTCAATTTCATCATTCAATCAAAGTTTATATTCTTTTATTTTTTCTAATTTGACCCTTATTTTTTTATCTGTTTCTTTTTTTTATTAAAGTTATTTTTCTTTTCAATTTAACTATCCAATTGAACTTTTTTTGTTGTTCTTTAATTTATTTTTTTATTTCACTTTTAACCCTCTTTCTTTTAATATATATATGTGTGTGTGCGCGCGCGCGCGCGCACGTTTAGATCTTTTTGTGTAATTAATTTTTTTTTTCTGGTTTTATCATCTGATGTTTGATTTGTTAAAACTAGGCTCTGTGATTTTTTTATTTGTAGTGCTTCTAATCTAATGACTGTGATAATAATTTTAAAAAGTTGATGCAATTTGACATTTTTTTTCTTGTTTATTTTCTTTTATGATTTTATTGTTCCACATTAAAAAAAGAACAGTTTTATAATTATTTTTAATTTATTTTTTACTAATTTATCTTGGTCTCATAACTTAGATCATGAGTTTTGCAAGTCTTTTTTCTAATAGAGGTTTTTCTTTTTGGTTTGTATTTAATTTTTGAAGATATTATTTTGATTCATGTATGAAATTTTCTTGTTGAAGATATTATTTTGATTCATGTATGAATTTTTTTTTTATTTTATACAAATAAACTTTATATTTAAAAATAAAAAATATTTTTCAATAGTATTTCTAATAAATTTGATATCTTGCCCAATGTGTTTTTTCTTTTATTTTATTCAATTAATTTCATATGTATTTCTATTTTTATTATATTTTATTGATTAAAAAAAATAAATTTTGTAAATATAACCAAGTAAATATTTTATTTTGCAAGATTATATATATATATATATATATATATCTTAATATTTTTTTCAATTTTTTCCTTATGTTATTGTTAATGTTTATTTATTTATTTATTTACACAAATAATTATCAATGTATTTAATTAAATACTCACATATGTTTTTCAATAATACTTTAATTTTTTAATACAAAAACACACATAAAAAAAACTTACATATCTATTTTTTTAACACATAAAAAAAACTTACATATCTATTTAAAAAAAAAAAATTATGACATACAAAACACGAATTAGTTATTCTGCTATTGTGACCCATGAGTTAATGTATTGTAATTGTGTCATTACAGTGGTTCTTTTATTTATTTATTTATTTTTTCAACGACTTTAAAATTATAGTTTAGTCCCTTAATTATTGTGTCAAATTATTCTATTCCTTTATTATAAGAATTTCACTTTTTCTTCGATTCTTACACCACAATGTTAGGATAACGGTGCTTAGACGACTAGCAAGAGCAACGTCGATTGCCTAGTAGCGATTCAAATTAAATCAACAATTACCAATTGACAATTTAAAGTAACAGTTAACAGAAACAATTACTAATAATTAGAAATTGACAATCAAGAGTTATAGTTATCGGAAATTTTTTTAAAAACACAATAATAATCATATATTTAAAGTCAAACTAAGAGTTAATCTACTTATTTTTTGAATTACATCATCAAATTTGATGATTTATGTATTATTACATCATCGCAAGCAGGGCCTCATGTGAGCAAGAGATCGATGTTATCCATGGAAGATGCTAATATCTGTAATCCTCTAAATAAAGTTGGATGGTATAAAATAATGCTGAGAACATAGCACTAACGAGTAATGATTGAAGTTGGGGGATGAAATGAAGGAGATAATGTGCTCAGCTGCCCATCTAAAAGCAGAAAACCCTATCCACCACCACTAGGGAAGCAGTCAATGTGAAGACTTGGCCTTCCCTATACAAGATTTGTGTGGATATGAAAGATATGCCTGTCTTCGATGTAAGAGACACGGCCTCCCATAGAAGAAGAGACAGCTCCTTGGATTTTCCTTGAAACATTTATGATGAACAGAGATGGGAAAGAGAGTTTCACAAGCTAAGGAACATCAAGCAAAAGCAGAAAAGATGAACTCCAAAATTAAAAATAAAAAAAAACTAAATTTGGATTGTTTTTCATTTGTATCACTGCTAAGATTGTTTATTCAACACATCAGAAAATTCTCCACTAACGAGAAGTTGGTAGGCTGACTGATGTGTGGTACTGTCCGGCCTAAATTAATATTGTTGAGTATTGATTATTATCTTGAGAAGAAAAATAAAAATAAAAACATATTTGATTGGAAAAACTAAAAGGTTTTATAATAATTTTTTGAATCAGTAACAATTATTTTTTGCTAACTTGCATTGAGGTTTGGGTTTTATCTATGAAAAATTATTTTTTCCAGCATAATCTATTATTTTGTCTATCCATTGAATGTAAGGAACTGGATAATATTTTCTAGAATTATTTTTACAAAAACTTTTAACAGTTTTTTCAACTTAAAAGACAACTTAGAAAATAGGGTTTATAGAAGGTAATTGAAGTTGATAATGGAGGGGATTTTATAAGTTTTGTATTCCTAAATTTCTCTATAAAAAAAGACTGAAAAAGAGTATTTAGGGTTAATTTTTTTAATACTGTTTTGGACTATAATGACACAAGATTTTCAACTCCTCTTCTTCTCCACATTCTTTTCTTAATTATCTACAACTTCGACTCAGTTTTTACAGAGTTTAGTTTGTTAAATATGATTAAAAAATACATCTAAACCAGACAATATTATAATGGTGTGAAACTTATTAAAGAATGTTTTTTTTTTTTTCTGTTTTCTTTTTTTAACGATTTAAGATAAGAGAGACGGAAAGATGAGGACCCCGGGCACCAGCAATGATGAACTGGCCGAAAATTTGTGATGCTGCCATTCATTTTGTCCTGCCAGTGTGAATTGTGATGTGAGACTATTATGCTCCTTGCACGCGTGAATCATAACCAGTGTGGATTGTGATAGTACAATCCAAGTGGTCCTTCATTTCTTTCCCCTTTGGGTTCGTGGGTTCTAGAATTGCAGAAGAGATGGAATGGGCAATTTGTTTTTGGTGTGTATGCTTGGCTATAAAATTATTGGTAAATTTATTAATAATAAATTAGAAATTATTGATGATTATTCTTTCATTGGATGGTTTTGGTCCATGGTTCATGAGTTTATTGGTAAAATAATCACAAATAAAATATTAGTATAAATATCAATAAAAATTTTCATTAATAAAACTATTAAATTTAATATTAAACATAGCATGTACTTCGCACCACCATTTATGTTATTGTTTTACACTAACAAAATCTTTTACATGACTTGATGTTAAATTTGATATTGTTTGCTCGATAGATAACAAGATAAAGAAATTATATTCCTCTATCAATCTAATTTTAAATATAAATTTATTAAGAATCATGTATGTTATATGTTGACAAATCAAGATAATAGTGCATAACTATTGATTTTTTCAAATTAAGATTCCGGAGATACTTATATGTGAAATCTTGAAGT